CCGGGAAGGTCGCTGCTGACTCTCGATCCCCTCCCATGTGGCCATCCGAGACACTCACCCATTGGCCTTCTCCCGAGCCAGCCGCCAGCAGGCCACGGGCGCCTTTTCTCTCCCAAGCCTGCATCCCAGCACACAGGGTCCCATTTCCAATTCCTCGTTACTTTGTACATATGCCCCTCTGTTTCTCCAACAGCCACTCAATCCTTTCTGGATCGTAGGAAGCATGCTACGGGATATCGAACCTACAGTAGTCAAGTGCGCCTCGCCTCCTCAACAAGCGCTGCTCCTCCAGGACAGCAGGGCCCAGGGCTCAGGGCCTAGGGCTCACTCACGAACAGCAGCATTCCCGGTCGGGGCTAGCCAGGCTGCCCTCTATATCCGCCATTGATGGGGTTCGAGATGGAGCTACGGGGCAGCAGCAGGCTAGCTGGCTAGTAAGAGCAGTGCTGGAGGAGCGCCCATCTTCAAATCCCACCTTGCCGACATGGCATTGGGCAGATGCAGGTCCAAGCCAAAGCAGTCAAGCGCGGGAGGGCTAGACATGCATGCCAGACTATGCAGCAGGTCCCACCCAGTGTGGGACAGCCTATACAGCCTGGCCCTGGCCTTGTACCTAGGGAGGGGTGAGCCTATCTCCCTCGGCCCTCCAACAAGGCGACATGGGAGGCGCCACTACATACTATGTAGTAGCACAACCCCACACAGCAATGGAGCCTGTGGGTTCCTCAAATTCTGGTCGCTCATTGACCTCACTGGTACGGAGTACACAGGAAACTCGCTGCTCCGGGTGGTGCTCTGCTCCTCTCCCGGCGAGGGCAGCCTGCTTCGCTGCTGGCTGTTGTCGGGGACATTCCTGAAGCCCAACACGCACCACCGCTCATGAGGAGGAGCCTCCAGGTCAGCCGGGCCGGGGGGTGGGGGATTGGGTGATGCCACTTTCAACTCTGTCCAGGAGGGGCTCCGAGCCTGGCCTGACATTGAACTGGCCTGACTGCCCCGGCTGTCGTCACTCGTGCCGGCCCCAAGCTCCAGCTCCAGCTTCCCAGCTCCAGAAAATCCTTGCGTGGATCACGACCGCGCCTCGGGCACCAGCAGGACAGGAACCCATCATTCTTGGAGGGAGGGGTGTCTCCTGCCGGGTTGCACCCAGGAAGCCCCAGCCAATCTTGAGATCGTCAAGATGGATCTAGCAGCGATCCCCAGTCCAGCATCATAATTGGTTAGGCGCCTGTCGCGACAGCTGCGGAGCCCGGTGCTGAGGATCCTTTTCGTGCGGGAATCCACCAGCCCGGCCCATGTCTCAGTGTGTGCTGCGTAGTGTACCAGAGAGAAGGCACTGCAGTCTGCAGCAGATGCAATGCCAACAACATCCGACAACCCCAAGGCTTAGCCAGCTAGCTGTTGGAAAATGGTCCGCGCGATGGGAACATCGAGCCATACCACGCATCGCCTGCCCGCCCGCCCTCCGGCTAGCCAGCCAGCCACAGTGGGCGCGTGCATCGTCAAGACGAGGAGGATCCTGAGACACCAACACAGTAAGAACAGGCGGGCGGCGGGCGGAGGAATATGTCATGCCAGTGAGACAATATTGAGGATGGCGGTTGACGATGAGGCTCGGGTATCCTTGCGCCATCCCAGAACGCCGCCTCGCCTTACGTGATGACTACCATCCATCCATCCATCCATCCCGAGCTACCAGTACTCCGTACCATACGATACCACCACCGTGGCAAGACTCGTGCCACCTGCGGGAGCCTCGTGATTGATTATTTTTTTGCTCAACCGGTCCATCTGTCTTCGTCGGTATTATGCCCCTTGGCACCACGCGCGGATACAATGCATTGTCCGTGTCAAGCCGTGTGGCGAACAAAGGGAAAAGTTCGCCAAGGGCACATGAAATCGCATGGCTGCTTGTGTCGGAACTTCTCCAAGGCGGCGAACTCGACCCGAACACTTACTCGAGCTCCCGGCACAACCCACCAATGCCCGTGCTAGGTGGCCGGGACTGTCATAAGCCGTCATAACCTGTACGTCCTTTTCACTACTATTAATGCATGCAACCCGAGTGACAGGGAAAAAGCAAGTACACGCCAGATCGATGTACATTATACATGCCTGGGTACATATACGAGTACCGAGTACATCTACCTACACATACGCTACATACATGCAGCATGCGAAACGGCAGGCAGAAACAGAACCAAGCTAGCAACAAAAGATCCCGACGGCCGGGCCACTTTCAATGGCAGGCAAGTATCTAAGCACAGTACTAGACCAATTCCTTCTCGGGAATGAAAACTGGAACTTATCCAGCACCACGGCTACACATGACATGACAGGAAAGGGGAAAAGAGCAACGAAAGCACACGGTATGGGAAGTGAGCAGTCGATGGAAGGGGGAGAAGTTGGTGTGTGACACCTGGGGCCCAGAACGGCCGGGCGGCCATTCGCCAATCACGAGTGCATCCCAATGATCGTAATCTTGCATCTAGGATCCCACTCTGGGAGGGGACATTCCATCTGCAGCCATTGTGCTTTCCCAAGGGTACCTGCCCTACCCTGTAGGTACCCTGGAGGGGGTCTCTCTTCTCGGCCAGGGAAGAGGAAAACACACAGACACACACCAGAACACACAGACACGGCGCACCCCTCCCTCCCAATCCGTCTAACTTGCCATGCGACTTGACCCCTCCTCGCTACCTTCCCGCTGCTCGTCTGATGGTTATTGTGGGAAAGCCGCACGGATGTGGATAATACCCGGATGAAGGAAGCTCTGCGGCGCAGGTAGTAGTAACTAACTGCTTGTAAGCGAACAGGCCGAGGCCCTCCCCCCCATGTGCCTGCCTGTGGCTTGTGTTGGCCGAGGGCTGAGTGCCTGGTGTGTGTGCCCCTCCAAGATATGTCAGATGCGGCCGTTGGCTGCTTAGCTAGCCTCCCCCGCCCGTTGCGCCCTTGGTTGCGGGCGATATTCCTGAATTGGAACGGCTGTGCAGATTTGGCCAGTGAGGCACGAGAATAACAACAAGGACGGAAAGGGAAAAAAAAAGATAGTTGTCAGATATCAGATATCAGAACAGGTGGGCAATTTTTTGGTTGGCTCCTCGTGCGTGTGACTGTGTGCGTATGAATGAGATACTTCCCAGCCCGTGGTCAGCAAGGAAGAAGGAAAACCTCACGATGGGACCATGAATGAACCGGGTGGTGGGAAGGGGGGGGGGCGTGAGAGTATCGAGGGCGAGGCTGTCACTCTCACTCTCTTTGGGAAGGAACTGTACATATGTAGGTACCTTTCTCTCTAGTGGAGGGGAGATATCTACATGCCCGTTGCCTGCTAATCCCCGAATTTTCAGATGTCAGAGAATTCGAATGGCACACCACACACACACTAGGGACAGAGAGTGTGAGAGAGAAATAGGCAAATCCACTCTCGGTGGTGTGCCCCTCCTGCCCTCCCCCCCCCCCAGCCCACCACACCCCATCACGCCTAGAACCAAGCCATCCAGCCCTTCTGCGGGGAAACGTCATCATGCCCGTCAGAGTCAAGAGAGCCCTGCATGTGTGCAGCGCGCGGCGCCGGCGGGCGAGGGAGCGAGCCAGGCGCGCAGAGGGACGGACGCCCACACCCACACCCACACACACGCGCATAAACCAAAAATCGCGATTTATGTCTGGGCTATCATATCGTAGTCTGGTTCATCTCGTAATGCACATGTGGCGCGGTCTCAACACCTGCAAGTGCTGACGCCTCTTCTTGTGAGCCGGCCGCGCCCCTTGGGGGCCAGCCCAAACTGGCGAACGCCATGGCGGCAGTTGGTTGATGAAAAAGCAAAAGGACATCGAGCCGGCCCCGTGGTGTTGGGCCCTTTCTCTCTTCTGTGTGTGTGTGTGCGTGTATTGTATTATCGTATATATGTATCTGTGTGTGTCATCACTAGTCATGGTGGAGACCCCAGAGTGCACACGCTCCACGCGCAGAGAGTTGCATTTTCCCTTCCCCCTTCCTCGGGCAAAACCCCGGGACCTTATCACGCGGCTCATATGGCCCAAATGGTTGAAATAAAGGAAAGAAGAAGGCTGAAGGGAAAATTTGGGAAGGCAGAAAAAAAGGTTATTTGCATGCAGACGTTGGCTGCATGCGGGCTGCCGGGAGGGTGACGCCCTTCTAGAATGTCTTGGGTGGCAGTAGCACTCACTCACTGGCAGAGAGCGAAACCGATGTTCCTCCCCCAAGTAGTACCCTTGCCCTTTTCCCCTCCACACCTATAGCCGCTGCTGATCCGGCCCCCGGATTTTCGCTGCAATCTATCTGTCTTGTCTGGTGTCTTGTCCCAAAATGCTCTGCAGCGGCGGGTGTGGGTGGGTGTTTTTGCTTTTTCATGTTATTTCTTGCGTCCCTCGCCTGCCTAACTTTTCCTCGGGAGCGATCTGACAGCAGGCAGGGGAGCGCTCCCGCCAGGCCTGGCCCCCCCTCCCCCCCAATCAATGGCGAATCGCACGACACCACCTTTGGCCGGAGGGTGTGGGAGGTGTCTTGCCTCCGTGAGGATCCGGTTGGCTGGGTGCTGGCTGATGTGCAGCATGTGCGCGTGAGCCAGGAGAAGGGGTGTGGTGTGCGTGAAAGTGTGTGTGTGTGTGTGTGTGTGTGTGTGTCTAGGTCTTAAATGTGTGCATGTATGTACAGTAGATAGATATGTGGGTTGGTGGTGCACCGTTGACGTGTGTGTGGAATCTGCGTGTGAGTCCCCTACCTCCGCCCTGCCGTGTAACGGGCCCACCCAGCAGCAGCAGCCCAGCCATCTCGCGCGGCGCGGTACAATGTGTGTGGCTTTTATTTTGTGTTTTGTTTATTTTGTTTTCTTTCCGGGCTGTGCGATCTGACCTGTCTCGAACCTTACCGAACTGGTGGGATGGAAAAGCCTATGCGGGTGTGTAGGACTTGAACCTTGGGGACGCCCTCCCTGTCATGTCAACCCACACTTCACCCGCTCGCTCGATTCATCTGTATTGTCCTTGACGGCGTGCGTCTCCCGTCTGCGCCATTGTGCATTGTCCTTCACAACACGAGGCACATCTGATGACTCCCGTTGCCGATCCGGACGAATAGATCCTGAGAGTGTGGGCAATCTCAGACATCTGTGGTGACTTATAACATGTGGGTCGACGGATTTGGACTGCCGCTATCGTAGCCTCGTGTTTTCAGCTCAGACCTTACAGGAGACTGGGGTATCACAGCATTTTCTAGGGGCCCCCAAAACAAGAATTAGGCAGTGAAATTTGTATTTCGTTTCCAATGTTTGCATGTCTATCTTCTGCCAGCCACAGTATGCCTCAAAAGTACGCATCTCTATGTTTGTCTTGCAGAAAGAAAGCACAGCGCCGCGCCACATCTTCTGGTGCGTCAAATGCCAGTAGGGGGACTCAGACCAGGAAAGCAGTAGTTCCAACCTGCGCCGGCAAAACCCGACAAGAACCTCCTCCCAAGAATCAAACAAAAACATCTTGTTTTGTCCCACCCTTGCCCGTGATCACATTTTGAATCCTTAGCCGGCATGTCGTACATCGGCGGTCCACCTGCTGGACCCCTCGTTATGGGATTCTCCCCGCATGCCCTTTTCCTTTTTCTGGCCCGGACTCTTTTTGGTAGAAAGTGGGGAAGAAGCTGACAAGAGGGCGGGAATGGGATCCGGGAAATAAAAAATCAAAGAATAACATCCGTGCCCAAACATGTACAAGGCCTCCGCCGGCTCGCCCATCCCAGCTCGGCAGGATGAGGCGTCGCCTGTAGAGCAGGCGTACCCGCGGACTGTAGCGATGGTCGTGAAGAGTGCTGTCGAACCTCATAAACCCGCCAACGCCGTAGTAGTAGTGGTGGTGGTAGTAGTAGTAATAATAGTAGTAGTAGTAATTCTTGTTCTCATGGCCGTGAAATCATCAAGTCATTCCAACCCAACCAAAGGCAAAAAGGGCCGAGGACCTTGCCAGCCCATCGCCAGTAGGTTGCGCCGTGGCTCAGGATAGTTGCCCGAGTTGTGTCTGGAGCCCCCAGGAAGCACAAATCCGATCGAGGCTCGCTCAGTCGACATCGTGCATGACGGGCTTCTCGTACCGGGAAGGCAATGTCATGCGGCGCTGAGTGACGTAGCGTACGAGCTCACCCTTTCCGTTCGGCGTGCTCATGCTGAGACTTCGCTGGGGTCTCATGAGACGTTGTCGGTCGTGGACATCACCATCTGCTCGGCTGCCCCATGACGTCTGTGGTGTGTTAGTACCGGTCTCTTCGCTTAAAGTCTTGGGGGAGGTGTGGTCCATACCATGTTGAGAGTGGCGAGAGCGTAAAGCTTGATGAGGCCATGGAAATATCCGAAAAGGATCGAGACAGGCAGGAACATGATGTCGCTCGGGTTTCTCATAAAGAGACCGACAAGCTTGACGACTTTGGTAAACCCAAACACGAAGATAATCTGCGCCCAGAAGGCATATTGCCTGCTTGTTGGATCCCAGTCTGCCGTAGCCTTCCAAAGAGAGAAAATGATGAATGGATCCATCAGAAAAGCCAGGGACGTGAAGGTGGCGATATGCAGGGCATATGTGCACCATGGTTGTTGGCTGTGACGAGATCCGTTAGTACGTAACCCTGCAGCAGCGCCAAGCCTCTTCGGGAGTTGACTTACCGCCACACATATCGCTCAATCACCAGGCTGGTCCAGTTACTCCGCCAGTTGCTTCTCGCCCACCGGGAGCACTGGTACAAGAACTTCATTCCGTTCTCCAAGGTGGTCTCGAGCTCACATTCCCGCTCGTACTGGATCCAGGTCTTCCATTGGCGGCTGACCAGCCACCTAGTCACGAAGTTGTCGTCGTCGGCGTTGAGAATGTAGTGGCGCCACTTCTCACGCTGGAAACCATCTAGGAACTCGGCACTTTGAAGGATTTCAGACCTGTAAGCCCCCGTGCGTCCGGACATGCAGGAAGTTCCTCCATCAATGTTGTGGGTAGCGGAAATCTCGAAGTTGCGGCGCTCGATGTAAGCAGCTCCCAGCCAGTTGAAAATTCGCGTCTTCAGATCGGCGTTCCATTCCCGGCGCACACGCTGGCACGTACCCACGCCGCCAATCTTGGGATCCTCGAAAGGTGCCAGGAGCCATGGCATCAAAGTGTTGGGCCACTCGACATCGTCGTCCGCCATGATAGTAATACTAGTCCGGACCTTTGGCAGCGCGGCGCAGACTTGCAGACGCTTGTTTGCAATTTGCGTGAACAGAACCCGGACCCGAGGGTGGTTCAGCGAGTCGGCCAGCTTCTTCAAGGCATCATACTTGGCGGCGGTTGTGATGAGGATGAGCTCGTACGGCCGGCAAGCCAAGATGCTCTCGAGGGAGGGGCGGAGCTCCTCCATACGGTTGTGGATTGTAGGGATCACCACTGTCACATCATCCTGTGTGAAACTAGGCTTCTCAGGGATAGGCTTTGACTTGTACGTCCAGTGGCTCCAGCAGTGGACGAGTAGACGTAAATACCGGTGCACCCTGAATCCTTATCAGTAAAAGGTGACGCAAGGGGATAGGGCGGACTCGGAATTGGAGCCAGAAGATGGGTGTTATTCCCGGAATTTCAAACTTACCAGCAGACGACGAAAATCCAAGCCCAAACAGTGGTTGAGTACCAAATGGAGGAGAAATCGATAGCACCGACGGAGCTCCACAAGGAAGCCGTAAATGGAATCATAATGTTATGAGTATCAGGAGTGATACTTGGCGCTGTCGAGTTCGCCATTGCTGGTAGAGTTGTACTGGTGGTCACAGCGGGGTCGCTCCAGCAGATCTTTCGAACGTGAAGCTGGGGGCAGTGGCGATCTGTGTCGGATTCCAATGGGGTTCGTTCCAACCAGGCCTGGTTGGAGAGGCCGCAGGAATAATCACCCTGGAGATGGGTATTTCAGGGCTGATAGAGCTGCTTGGCCGGGGATTCGTGCACAAAGTCCCTGGTGCTTGTCTCGAAGGCGTTTCTCCTTCTACGGCAATTTTGTGATTGCAGACAAGAACGCTCGATCCTGTGGCTCTGGAGTATCTCGACGTGGTGTTACCACACCTGAAGAGACTGTCACAGATATGACGGACGGGGATCCGGTGAGCGAGTCGAGCACTTCGGGGAAGAGGGGCCCACGGAAGCTGCAGGACTGCGTTCAACAAGCTGGCAACGGTGCTCGCGCTTGTACAAGGCCGTGTGATCCTTGTGGTCAGTGAGACAGGCAGAGCTGGCTCGTCTACACCCTGGAAGCCTTTTTCCGTTTTGGAGGTGGAAAATCAATTGGTGTGCAACGAACGACTTCGGATGGAGGACTGGGCATCGAGCACCACTACAGCCCCTGACAGCAACCGGTGGAGGAGAGGGTAATGTACAAGTAGGAGATGGGAGAGCAGAACGTTTATGACAAATCCATGGTACAGACCAATTGGGCCCAAAGAGCAAAGATAGAAAATAAAGAAATAGGTTGGAAAAGCAAAACGTCCTCAAATAGACATGGGAAGCGGATGGGGACAGAAGAGATATATAGTCAAGTCAGTCAGTGGTGCCGGACGGGAGATGGACGGCCGGGCAGACTTCCTGGGGTTGGTTGGTTCCCAGAGCGGGCACGATTACAGGGAACATGGACAGATTTGCTCCGAGCTTGCAGTGAGGAGAAGCGCCATAACAAGGAAGTAGTGTGAACGATGTGTTTACGAGGATAGACATGCCCACAACTGGGGCAATACGCGGCCAAGGTCCAGAGTACAATTTGTCGACGCAGCGTCGAGACTGTGCAGATGGAAAAAAAAGGCGCGAGAAACAGAGGGGGCCAGTAGGGATGGTACGTACAGTGCTGATCCAACAATGCATGCAGGCGCTTGCAAGGGGGCCCTCTCTAGACTGCATCTGGCCTAGGGGTCCTCCCTGAGGGTGTGGGTGGCAGTGGTGAGGGGTGTCATTCCCAAGATCCACCAGGCCTGCTTTAAGGTCCCATGGGGGCCATCACAACCTCGATGCGGTTGGGTGGGAGAGGGGCGTGTATCATGAGAACACACAGTGAGAAGGCCCTGGTCAGGGTACATGAGCTTGACAAAGTACCTGCGGGCGACGAGGGGGGTGGATACCTTGGAGCTTCAAGGATAGGGATGCTCCTGTACAGCTGTATATGGGGCGATGACCAGCCCCCTGAATCCCGGCCTACCCACTTCGTTCGCTCAGCGAGATGCGGAGTCGAGGAACCCACTCGCTGGAAAGGCCCAGACACCGGGGACTGGACGGGCTGGACACTTCATTCGCTGCCAGCCTTGGGCGTGCATTTCGAGCCTCAGGAAACGCAGCGTTATGATGTGATACATGCCCCAAACACGGACTCTGCAGAGGCACAACAAGCATACCAGCCCCATCTCAATGTGGGCTTATTAGTCCCTGCCGGCCGCCAAGGCTCATGCCATCGAGCTGAGGACGACAAGGATCAGCAAGCCACTCCTTTGTGTGCCGAAACGCCTCTCTGCGCAAATGCTCCCAGTCTCAAGTACCAAGTGTTGCCTTACACAGCATGGCGTCGAGGTCAGCCTTGCCTGCCAGCAAGCAGTAAGTCAGTCAGTCAATCAATCAGTCGACACGGGTGGCCAATCATATCTATTACGAAGCCTTTGCTGGGAGCAGAGAAATGAAGGCGATCGTCTGCACAGATTTCAGATTTCACAATCATCTGCGACCAGCTGCGGGTTCTGAGGACGAAAGCCGCCCCCCGGCCGAGGCAGGCAATCGCCGCAAGTACGGAGTACCCAGACGGACAGGGTGCCTTGCCAGCAGCTTTGATCATCATTAGTTGGACGCACACAGACCTCGCTTGCTTGGATGGCTCGTGCTACACTGCTGGCAGACAGAATAAACAGGCCACTCCGCAAAGTCATTCCGGGGTGGCAGGGAGCCGGGGGTTTGAATGCTGGAGATAGCACCACAAATGAGCTCTGCCCGCTTGGTATTCTGAGATGCGAGCCGAAAATAACGGCACCTTCTCGACTGAGACAAGCTCGATGGTAGCAGGCGACATCTGCTGGCGTTTGTCACAGAACATCATTGAATGACGGGGTACTGTAGGAATTTGGGCGGTTATTTCCAAGGTTGTGACTGCTCACCAACGGAACCAGGGAATGATGCTACTGTCGGAATCCCCACAACTAATAGTAGAATGGCCCACTTTGGCCTGGGACGAGTTCATGGGTCGTGATAGGTGACGCTTCAAAGACCCTTGGTGGGCATTGCAGAAGCGCGGATGCAGCGAAATAACGTAGGTACCGTAGTACCTCTGCAGGTCGAGACGAGACTGGCTGAAAAGGAAGGTGGGGATGGAAGAACAGTACCGCACGTGTATCGCCAGCCCGCCTCTCACCAGTGATGGCGGCTGAGTGAGCGAGGCGGCTGAATGACGGACGTTGGATCTTAGGGCTGGACTTGGAAAAGCACAGCCTGTGCATCGAGGCAGATTTGCTTTTGCTCCAGATCGTGTCTCCCGAGGATGGGAGTGCCTACTATCGGCACGAACGGACCTCAGGCTGGTCCCAGCTTACGGGTCCCGAGAAGACCCTGGAGTCTGCCGTACCGAAAAGAGTACTCAGCAGGTACCTTGGGGGCCGCTCCCAATACCGGCATCGCGTAGATCCCCCGGCGATGGGCTTGGGGCGATTGCAACATATCGCGCCTAGAGAGAAGCCCCTAAGCACGATGCCTTTTCTCATTTCAAAGCGAGGCGCGCACGTAAGCAAGAGCGGCGCCTCTTGCAATCCATGGATGCCTTGGGTGGCCGAACACTGGTGAGGTCCAGGCCTGGCGGAAACGCGAAGGTGATGCAGGTACGGCGTCAGTACCAGAAGAGCTGCCCTACCAAGGAGAGCTTTGTATCCGGGACGTCAGTTCTCGGGTCAAGGCTCCTTGTGGAAGGCCCACGGCTCATCCAACCCCGTGATTCCGCTGCAGGGTCGGTCGTAATGAGAATCAGCATGTGACATGTAAATAATGTGGCCAGGTAACAGTCTTGGACTTGACGCCGGCAATATCGCTAGGACTTGAGAGGACCCGGCGACTGGAGTGTCAAATTTCGTAGAGTGTGCCTCTGGTGATAGATCACACACCCTCGACGAGTCTGCGAGTATGAGCCTGAGGTGAAGGGTGTGCGCGCGTGCTCGTGTGCGATCATTGCCCCATTCTTGTCGGCTTGTCGGACTAGACATAGCCAGAATCAGTTTATGCGTTTCCATCTGCTTCAAGAACCACAGAAGGCGAACCATGGTATGTCGTTGGAGAGATTGTGGCTTGCCGCCACTACCGGGGCGAGCACAAAAGTGTCTCAGCGCACAGACGCGATGCCGGCTTGTCTGCTTTGCATAGTGCTCGTACTCGAGGGTCGCTGGCAACTGCTCACAATGCAATGTGACTATCACGATGGACACGCGCTGACGGGCGGCCGAGGAAGCGCAGTTGGCGCACAGGGGCAGTCCCATGACTTTTGCACAACAGAGGCTGGCTGTGCGCAGCTGTCATACTACTGCTGTAAGCCTCGTGATGTGACGGCAGAGCAACATACATCAGCGACTGTCGTGACGTCTTGGCGCCTCTCCCACAGCCCCCTCCGGCCGGCGAGGCCTTGCAACGAGCATCACAAGGCGCGATTGGGGCGGACCGGACGGCTGCCTCCGGTCGAGTCCATGTGCCGATACGCTGGGGCAGGTATTTCGAAAGCTGATGGGCTCGCAGTCATGTCTGACAACAGAGAAAAGTTGACCTGTCCTTCGCCGCAGGGTTCTGCTGGTGAATTCAGTTGGAGATCGACTCGATCAACGCCTTTTTTTTTAGTAGCCTGTAGACTAACTAGTAGCTGGCCACGGATGGTTCATCAGCAAACTGCAGCCACACATTCTTTGAATCCAGCTAGCGGGGATGCTGGATCCTGCAGCTCACCCGTTTTGGCAACCAGAGCAGATCATCAACAGGGTAGATCCTTACAGCCTCGCTGCATGGGGAGCTTCCTGGTACCGTCCGGAGTACAATACGTACCTCTCTGGCCATCAGAAGACATATCGCGAGTACGGAGTACAGGCAGCACCTCAGTGCGCTGTGTAGGAGTACGTGTGCTAGGTGCACGCCGTGGCTGGCCACGACGATGCACGATTCACACCCCAAGGAGTCGCCCTAAACACAGATGTCCCTTACAAATGTGCCCGTGAAGCGGCCGTTGGTTCCAGCGACGAATATCGATGATGGATGGTCCGGGTGGAGGACATCTGGGACCGAAAGTGGTCGGGGCTCTGGTGTGTTGTCGTTGATGTACCGTACCCGAGGCATGTGGGCTCCCTTGTCCGTTTCCGAGGTTGCGGGTGAGTTCGAGGTCGAGGTCGAGGTCGAGGTCAGGTCGAGGTCGAGGTCACCAAGGCCATGCAGGTCAAGGGTACCAACCGGCCCAGACTGCGTTGGTGCGAGGGCGCGAGGGTGCGAGGGTGCGAGGATGCTCCGTCCGTCGATATGGGTACTGTGTACGCATTCATCATGAATTGATCATCATCATCATCATTCTGCCTGTGGGCCGTTGTGGGGTCACCCAGCAAACGGGAAGACGACGTTGGAGCGAATTTGGGTCCATTTCAACGCTCCTGCCAGTCTGCCCTTGTCTGCCAGTCTGCCAGTCCACTCCTGCCTGTGCCTGTGCCTGCCCGCACACAATCCCGACTTCCCGGCCAGATACCTGGGCGGGTACTCCGTACCTCACCTTGTGTGTACTCTTGGTTCGTTGGCATTACGGGTATAAAATTCGCAGCAAATATTGTTTGCCCCCTACAATGGCAGGTCATGGCCGTAACATTTGAGTAGGCGTTGACGTACAAGGCATGCAGCCTGTGTCGGGATTGTGCAATCGCAACCTCACACCTACCAGTCTACCTGCCCATGCAATTTGTATCTACACCCTTTTGCCTGGCCTTGACGGGCTGTCACCGACGCAGCCTACATACACAGTAGTACATGCGACAACGGCAACCCACACCCACACCCACCCACACACTCATCACACACACTTTTTCTCCCCCAAAGACTGACACATACAACAAGCCCACACACACACACACATCTTTCAAACACGGTAGATTTGATCATGGCCATCATCATCATCGACGCCCGCTTCCACCACCACCTCCACCATCACCAGCTTGCAGCAAACTGAATGTGCCGGCATCCAGCGCGGCCAATGACAGACACGTGGCAGGCCAGTCGAGCCACCTTCCAATTTTCCGAGGATGTTGCCGTCGACTGTTCGCCTGCTCTCGTGCACAGATGCGAGTCATTTGCTCCGATCCGTACCCGCCGACTCTTACGGCCACACTTCATTCATTAGACACTTTCTGGCCTTGTGTCGCATGCATTATTATCCATGAAATCCATGGTCAATGGAGCCCTTCTGCAGGTTCGCATGCCAAGCTGCCTGGAACTTCAAGCCTGCCCGCCGCCAAACCCCCCCTTCTCCTCCACCTCATGCAGAAGAAGCCAAAGGATTGAGACCTGCGTCCGCCATGAGCCACCTCACCCTTAGCGGTTCGTCCGCCGCTGGAGCCTGCATCATGATATTTTGAATCTGTCCTTCCCTCGTCCGGCCGTGGTCGCCTTCCTCATCTTTTACAAAACCTGTTTTCGCCCAAAATGTTTCTGTGTGCGACAGTTGACACGACATTCATTGGCGACGGCTTGCCGGGCGTTCTGGCCACGGCCCCAGCGGACTTCCAATG